CTTCTGTTTTAAAATCAGGCCACTTCTTCACATAATGTTCCTCATTTCAAATTTATTCTAATAGCGTTACTGGGAGTGAAATACAAATGAAAGATAATAATGGTTTACAAGCATATTTGTGGGGGTGGGTTTGTCTCTGCACAGGAGGATCCAAGTCAGATGAAAAAGTGGATCTTAGCAAAGACAAGAAGTTAGCCCAGTTCAACAACTGGTTTACTTGGTGTCACAACTGTAGGCATGGTGGACATGCTGGGCATATGCTTAGCTGGTTCAGGTAAGTTGATGTTAAAATCTTTCTTATTTCACATACGTCTGCTGCATTGAGTAGGACATGCCTCCTTTGCTGTATCTATCATTATAATGTTTTGTTGGTTTAGAACATATGCAAAACTTCACTATGATGCTGAGTTTTTCTGAGATACTATGTCCCTGCACATACTTAAATGTATAGATTACAAAATTCTTGTTAGTCTTACTTTACCTGTTTTTTCTTTTTTCTGCTCTTGCTATATAGGGACCATACCGAGTGCCCGGTTTCTGCCTGCTCCTGTAAGTGTATGCAGCTGGATACGACAGGGAATCTCGTTCCAGCAGAGACTGTCCAGGCATAAATATTGTTTGAAAATGTGGGGCTTTCTAATGGATGTCCATCATAGTCCAAGCATATATTTTAGACAAAGGTCATTTGTGACTTACTGACTGTGAAAAAATAAATTGCTATCAGATTAGTAAAGTGATGTGTGTATGACCATGCTTGGTAGAAACAGGTATTCCTGAAATGAGCCTCTGGGTATAGTACGTGGTCCTTGTTCGGAGGATTGAAGCAGTTCAGTTCAAAAGCGCTCCCAGAGTTGTGGACTCTTTGGATTTGCTAAAATCCAAAGAACTTTTAATAAGGTTTTCAGGGTAATGCTGATCGGCCCTTTTATTTGTTGTCCAAACAAAGCAGTGTTTGTATGCTGTGAAAGTGGGCCTTCAAAATAAACACCTGAAAAGTGTTCTTCAGAAGATCGCAAAGTGATGCTGTGGATTCCTCTGTTGATTGATGGATCACACTTTCTTGTATGCATATGATCGTTTCCATGTAAGTTCATTGAAAGTGCCACTGTTAATTGTATTCTAAAGATTTTTATTTTAAAGAAAAATCCATTTCTTTCTGTTCCCAAGTTTTGCTAATAGTAAAGCAATGTCTTTGCAATTCAAGGTTTTATTTAATTTACCTACACACCTAGCTGATGTGAATTTTAATGCTAAAGAATTGGGGGGTTTTGTCTCCTAGCGATATCTATATCCTAGAAGAGTCCCCTGAAAAGTCATGTGTCTGTTTCAGTGCAGAGTGCAGGTAAACTATAGGAGGTTTCATTTGATTAATTTTTAACATAGTACTGTGAAGATCTGAAATCTAAAGGACTGGAGACTTGTAAATATTTAAGTTTTAAACTACATGCTGAGTTTTGACTACAAAAATATTCGGAGACTTTTGGATAATCAGCATTTCCCTGTGCTTCTGAAATACGCTGGGAAGTGTGAAATCAACGTGTATAAACCCTGCTTCTGGTCACTAGCGGACACCAGTCTGCTCCCAAAAGGCTGCACAATTTTAGGTCATTGACCAGAAGTAGTTCTAGATGTGTTACCAGCTGGAATTAAGATTATTTATTAACTTGGGAGAGAGTCAATGATATTTTGCTAATACTGTGCTAGGAGCTAATTGGTATTGTTGTCCCTGATTTTGTAGGCAACAAAATTCACACAAATTAGGGAAAAAGAAACCTGTTTTAAGGTATGTGATAATAACATCAGTTTACTTGGTGTGTGTTTATTTACTAGTCAAAACAGTATATGACTTACTTAACACTTCCGTGCTATGAAATACTAAATGGAATGCTAGCAATAAACTGGTACTGTATTGCCAGGACTGTGAAAATTGGTGTTTTAAAAGAGAATATATTGTAATACACCACTAGTTCTAAGCGCTCTAGTGTAGTTGCAACAAGATAGAATGTGGAAACATTTTCTGTAGATGTACATGATTACGTTCAGGACTTTGGGTTATATTTTCTGATTTAGCATTAATGTTGTGATACATTTGCTCATTTAGTCTGATCTAAAATTCTTGCCTAATTGACAAAGATCTTTTTTAAAATTAAAAATCTAAGAGGTACTTGATATTTGTAGGCATGGGAGAGCAGTTACCTTTTTCTTGTTAGAGTATTTATTTCTCTTTCCAGTATTTTTGCACACTTCATGTTGCTGTTGAAGAGCTCTTCAAAATGTTCTCCATTTGTAAATGTAAACTGGGGTTTAATGTAAGATACCCTATTTATATAAATACAGGCAATAAAACTTTTGCTTTATGGAAGTGAGGATTTGTAAGTGTCAAGGATATATTTTTATTCCTCTGTTGTAACAACTTTTAGTAAATTTTCCTGGTAAATTCCATGTCCAGGTGACTGCAACTATAACTTACAATGTCTCATTTTCTTATGTAAAGAAACGTTTTCGACTTGACTATACCTGTTTGTGTCAAACTCTATAATTTCATTAAATTAGATGCTTACTTTGATACTCAGCCTGTCTTTGAAATGTTTAGGATTATCAATGTGCGCATATTCTGGCACAGTATAACTATCAGGTTTGGCTGTTGTAGTTGGTAATCAGGCTTTCAGGCCAGTCATTACATGATTTGTGAAGTTTACAAAGTAAGAGGTGCATGTTTTTTAATGACCAGATTTTTTCCTTGTTTTGCTTTTAAATTAATAGAGCTGTGATTTTGGGGGTGATTTTTTGTCTTCTAACAAAGACCAGACACGCCAAGGAGAGGTTTGGCTGGAGAAAGTGGGGGCACCTGGCCTGCAGCCCGGCCCTTGTCACAGTGGCAATCTCTCGTGGCTCCACACCAGGGCCGGTGGGATGCAGCTGTGCCCTTGCCCTCCCAGAGTGCAGAGGTTCTTTCATCCCGTGTGTAGGTTCCCTAAATAAGGGTCTCCATCACATCTGTTTCATAATTTTTGTTTGCAGTTCAGCCTGCTGGACAGCTAAAACAGACCGATGGTTTAAGAATGGTCAGCAACTCACAAAGCCACCATTTCCCATTTTATTATCCACGAGGCCTGGCGGTTTCTCACACGTTCACCTTGTTAGTGCCGTCCTAACTGACGGTTAGCAGCCCCATGGTGATTCATTTCCCTTGGGTATCTGGAAGGGCTGGCAGTTTCCCACACTGCTATCCTGGTAAAAGCATATATGACCTGAGCGTTACTTTAATATCAAGAATATTTTACAGTTCCTTGCATTGCTGTCTTGTTCGTATAGCCATATAGCCAGGGTAGGCCGTTTATTCACAAACCTTGACAGAGAAGCAGATGAATTAAAGCACGTAGCGGAAACTTCTAGTTGTATACTGCTTGCTTAGCCATCTGCCATCGTGGCGGGACTGGATGAAGAAGAGTCTTGACGGACAAAGGGAAACTAGCACTTACCCCTCAGATGTGTTCAAACGTTGACGCAAGACCACAGATCCATGTCTCGCTCTGGGGGTGACGTGCTGTAGCCACCTAGTGGTAGACTATTTTATGAGGCCTGGATAGTCTTGATAACTAACTGTACGTAACATTCTACAGAATATACGTATGTGCACGAAGTAGCAATTTTCTAAAGTAGAATAGTACAAAAGACTTTTAAATGCTAGGAAGACATGCATGCAGTTATTAAGAATGACATTGTATTCCACTGAGCACTAAAATGTAGCGGTGATAGCACTGCAGGACGGAGCCTGGTATCATGCCACATGGACCTCGCGTTCCTGTTTGGTCTATGAGACTGACTCCTACTTCAGAAGTCCTCCTTCCCCATGAGAGTAACTTTGTCATTGTCTGCCTGCTCAGTAGAGAGGGGGAAAAAACATCACCCGTTAACTTGATCATCCACCCAGTTTGTAGTAACTCCGATAAAAAGTCTTTAAAACATAAATTCCTTGACTGAAAACGGAGATGTCTATAAATAAGCACAAAGCTAGCAATCTTAATAAGGCACTAAATCTAGCTTTTAAACTTAAAACCTGTTTGTATGAAAGGTTAATGAACATGGCTAAGGTTTATTTAAAATACTTTGAAATACTTTATTTATTAATTCCCGGAGACTATTTCCAAAGTTAGATTTTACTTTGACTGTGTTACCTTAGGAGATGTAAGGATTCTGCTACGTGCTGTAAGCAGCCTGGATAGTTACAAAACTGGGAACTGTGTGGAGGTTGATACGGCTAAAGTCATCATGACAAGCTGCATGAATCCTGGTACTTCTGCTCAGACTCCCACCAGGAATGAAGGTTGTGATGGGAAGTCAACTGCGCTTGAAATCCCCAGCCCTGAGTAGACATCTTCCAAGAGTTTAACGTCAGTGCAAAAGGCAAGCACCTCGTACTCCACTTTGTTAAAATTACCTGTCTCAGGTAAAATAGAACAGGAGTCACCGTATATCACTGGAAACAGCACTCTAACATGTAATACTGACACGAATAGTTAAATGTAGTCAGATCTTTTTTATTGCAGAAGAGACCATTTTCAAGATGCAAAATATCCCCCCCATGTCCAATAAATTTGTATCAAAGCAAATGAAATTAAAAAATCTTTACATTAAAACCCCACCAAATGTCTTCAATACAAGTTTCCTGTAAAGTATCCTAGAACCTGTACACCATCAACAAAGAGATGCCTACAAAACTTCAGTTTCTAGCAAGTCCGATCCAACAACAGAACACTCCTCATGGATGTGAAAGGGTTAAATATATACAGACAGTCAGATATCCACAGAAGTGTTCTCCTTCTTGCTGAATAAATACATTTTCAAGGAAAACATTCTTCACTGGCAATACATGGCACACGGAACAGCATCTTGTCAGTGTATTTGTTGGAAATAAATCCAACTGTTCTCACGCTGTCAGGCAAGAAAGCTACAGTGCTGTTGTCCCCTCTGAAGCTCTAAATATACACTAAGAAAAATTAATTGTTCCTCCCAGTGCCGAACGGGAAGTATTCAGGGAATTCATGAATAATTTTTAGTGCTTCATTGTAGAGTTCCAGATCTGAAAGAGGGCAAAGAAAATGGTTACAATGCATAAGTTAAATTCCCCACAAGCAAACGACAGCATTAAAGCACTGCTTATTTTAAAGCTGCATAGCTGAGCGTTCCCAGTCTCCCTCATCCTCCTGTTTTCCCAAGGCAGCTGTGCTCTCATTGCTTGCTTTCTGGAGGGTTACTTTTAGGCCTGCTAGCTGCACAACCACACAAGGTCTGAATGATCAGACCATGGCAATGATCTAGACTGGCTCCAGCTTCGAGTTAGTCCCTACAGTTTGACAGTGAAACTGTATATTTTGTACAGAATTTTTTCCCATGATACTCTCCTTTTCTACGTTCTACTCCGTATCTGGCAGCTTGAATAAAGACCTTGTCCTTCAGAAAAGATAATCAGGCTCTCCCTTCTTACTTGTTGAAGCAGAGTTCAGAACTCAAAATGAATTTGTCATAATATATATTCTTACTTACCAAATGGACTTTTATCTTCTCTGAACTGGACATACGACATGCACATGATGGTTGCCTGATTTGTTACTCTTCCCACTACTTCAAGAACTCCTGAAATCTCTTCATCTAGCTAGAAAACATATCAAATACGAAATTAGTATCACTAAGTTAGCTGCTGTCTCTACCGCACAGCACTTAAGCTAGGAACTCTCCACAACTGATGGTTTGTTCATGACAGATTCTGTTCCATGTCAAACGATACAGTACTACTGAACAACCCTCCCCTCAAAAAAAACTCACAGAAGCCTTGAGCCACTTCCAGATTTGCAGTTTTTGTAACAGCCAATTTAGTACTGACACAAAAAAATATACGAAGAAGCATCAGAGGGAAGACACCAGTTTCTAAGTATATAAAACCATGCCATTTAATCACTGAACAGAGACTGATCTAGGACACAGAGAGCAGAAGAATCCGTGTTTTAATGTGCTGCATTCAAACCTGAGTGAAGTATAGAACTCTGTAAGAGCTAAGGAGGTACCACACATACCAGAGAACAGTTCCAGTATTCCAGATTCAGGAGGTATAACTGGAAATTATTTCTTAAGTAATTTGTCAGTAAGTGTTCAGAATAAAAAGACATTGACAATAACAAGCCTTTGGTTGAACAAGGAAAAAAAAGGGCAAAAATCTTGCTCCAAAATCATATAGCTTGAACATGTTTTCTTTCTTTCTTAAGATACTGATTTTAAGAGTGCAGTACTATTTCAGTACTGTTCTTCCAATACCTAACTCTTACTTTTAACTTCCTAGTAAGTCTCCTTGAACACAGCAATAGATTCCCTCCCCTCTGCATAATTTTGGGTTTCTCTGTTGAAAGAAGGAACTACACACATGCAAACAAAGGAATCTATTAAAGGAGAAAAAAAGTTAGAAAGCATTTTGATTAGCAAATCTAGGAGTTCCTCCATTCACATTAGGCAAACCAGAGAGACAAACCTGGAGTGTTTTTTCTGCTCACACCAGTTTCTCCTACAGCAGTAGAACACAGACTGTGAAGTGCCCAACATTGCAGCTATGCATTTATGAAATTCGACCATTTACTCTGTTACGGAAAGTTGTGGGATTTTTGGTCAGATGCTGACATCTGAAGTTTTAACAACCCAAGGCAGGAAACCTTTTCGTGAACTCAAGATTGGGAGACAGGCAGAACTTGTAGGAAAGACATTTTCTTGCAGTTTGAATTCAGCATGCTTCACATTCATAAGACAAAACTCTTTGCCAGATTAAAATGCATTTCTCATCAACAAGGAGAGACTCCTGTCTTGAAAGTCAGAGAGCACCATGTGCAATTATTTCACATGGAAATGGCGAGATTTCTCAGCGTTTAACAACTCATTCAGAGAAAAAGATGTGAAGACTACACATATGCTCAGATAAGCTAGAGCATTTGCCATCACAACGAAAATAATCCTTTAATTACAACATTTGCTAGAAGGAAAAAAAATACTTAAAGACAGAAGAGAATGCCCGGTCCTTTAGTGGTACATGATAACAAAGGAAGCAACAGTTTTGTGCAACAGTTTTGTGCAATAGTTATAAGCATATCTTATACCCATTGCATTAATTGCTTGATTTTTTATTTTTTAAGAAAGAATGCTTCAAGCTAACTATGAAGTTTACTGGAATGCTATGACAAGTGTTCTAAGAGGATACAGAAATGACAACTCAAAAAAAGTCTTGAGAATACTATATTCTTGGGTTTTTTGGATTATCGACACAAAATATTCTGTTAGGCATATAAAGGCAATAAGAAAAAAGGAGGGAAAAGTGAAATTAAAATAAATCTAATACAGGTAGTGGGATATATTACACTGTAAACAACGAATAGAGTAAGACAAAGTAGCCAGATAGGGATGTCTCTGACAAGGAATGAGTTCTCTCTCTTTAACACCAGCTGAAAATTGATGAAGACCGAGGCAGTTCATGAATATGAAGACTGCAAGTTAGCTGGAAGATTTAGAAGCAGAGGCAATGAAACATAGGTGGAAAAGAGAGAAACCAGGGATTTTTTTTTTTTTCTCCTGACTAAAAACTCAATACACGCAAGGCACGCACAGGTTTTAGAAGGCACAAAACCTCCGGTATCCACAAACGGCAACATCGAGTATTTCCCTTTAACTTACAGGTTCGCTCAGCTCCACAGTCGTATGCTTTCCTTCTCCATCCGAAAGTACGAGAAACTTCCCAGTGGGATGAATCTACAAAAAAACCATCAGGCCCGTGCGCTCAAAAGGCAGCTGTAAGCGTTACAGGTTGAGTCGCCTCAACCAGAACTGCGCAGCGGGCCCTTCTCCGTGGGATCCGACCGTTACGGCCGCCTCCCGCCCTGCCCCCGGGCTGACTGGAGCCGCCGGCCTCCCTCAGGCCAGGCCGCGACGCGCCGCACCAGGCAAAGCGACAGCCTCCCCACACAGGGCCCCAGCCCGCAGCGCACCCCGGGGCGAGGCCCTACCCAGGGCGTCAGGGCCCAAAGGGCAGCAGCCGACCGCCGAGCAGATGACGGACCTTCTCGACGCGGCCCACGAAGCAGACGGGCTTCCCGATGTGCTGCGCCAGGTGACCGGTGGCGATGCGCTTCCGCGGTACCTCATGAACGTCCTCCATCTCGGCGCGATTTCCCGCCCTTTGCGGAGGGGAGGGGCGCCGTTACCCCTGGTAACGGGGGGG